TCGATCCCAAGGTCCTGGGATCATGACCTGAGCCGAAGGCAGACTTTCAACCGACTGAGCCACCCAGGCACCCTTGGAAAGGTTTTTAAAGCCTAACAGAGTCATTGAATTTTAAAAAATAATGGAAAAACAAATAAAAATAAAAAATAAAAATAGAATGTTTGTTTTACCTATGTTTGAAACTGAATAATCATTTACCAATATTTGAAAGTTTGTGTTTTTCTAATTTGAATTGTTTTGCAAAACAAATTAAAAATACTACGTGAAATGTTGAATTATTCACTAGTTTTCCTTTGAATTTAATGTTATGACTGCTAAGATTGAAAGCTTAATGTTTCTGTTGAATTTTTGGATTAATCATCTATTAATGCATCTTGTATTAATGCTAATTTTCCATAGACCCTTCTTGAAGGTTGCTGTGGTGAAGATATTATTCATGTCAATGAGAATGGAGAGTTTAAGTTGGATGTAGAGTCTAATGCTATAATCCAAGATGTTAAACTGCTAGAGGAGCTATTGCTTGACTGGAAGATATGGAATAAAGCCAAGGCATGTGCTTTTATTGATTTTATTTCTTTTAAGATTTATTTATTTATTTGAGAGAGAGAGAGTGCTCACGCGCACACACGTGTGAATGGCAAGAGGGGCAGAGGGAGAGGGAGATAGAATCTCCAGCAGACTTCCCTCTGAGTGCAAAACCAGACGCAGTGTGGGGCTCACTCTCATGACCCTGAGATCATGACCTGAGCCGAAATCAAGAATCAGATGCTTACCCAGTTGAGCCCCCAGATGCCCCCATGTGCTTTTATTTTTAACGGTAGAAAACATGTGACATAAATTTACCCTCTTAACAATTTTTGTGTGTATAATACAGTATTAACTATATACACTCTGTTGTACAGCAGATATTTAGAACATTTTCATCTTGCTTTACTGAAACTATCCCTATTGAACAACTCCCCCTATTTCTCCTGCCCCCTACCCCAGTCCCTGGCAACCACCACACTATGTTGCTATGAGTTTGATTACTTTAGACATGTCATAGAAGTGTAATCATTCAGTATTTGTCTTTCTGTGATTGGTTTATTTCACTTAGTGTATATCCTTAATGTTCATTTGCATTGTAGTATATGACAAGATTTCTTTCTTTTGTAACACTGAATAATACCATCGTATGTATATACCACATTTCCTTTATCCTTCCTTCTATCAATAGACATTTAGGTTGCTTCCATATCTTGGATTTTGTGAATAACACTGTAATGGACATGGGTGTGTGAATGTTTCTTTGAGATCCTGTTTTCAGTTCTTTTGGATATATACCCAGAAGTGGGATTGCTGAATTATATAATAATTCCAGTTTTAATTTTTTAAGGAACCTCTACACTATTTTCCATAACAACTGCACCATTTTACAATCCCACCACCAAGGTACAAGGATTCTAATTTCTCCACATCCTTGCCAACAATTGTTATTTTCCGGTTTTTTGATAGTGGCCATCTTATTGGGTATGAGATGATATTTTATTGTGGTTTTGATTTGCATTTCCCTGATATTTAGTGATGATGAGCATCTTTTCATATACTTGTTGGCCATTTGTATATTTTCTTTGGAGAAATGTCTGTTCATGTTCTTTGCCCATTTTTAAAATGAATTATTTGATTTTTTTTGTTATTGAGTTGTAGGAGTTCTCAATATATTTTGATATTAATTCCTCATCTGATATGTGTTTGCAAAGATTTTCTCCCATTCCATAGGTTGGTTGGTTCCTTTGCTGCACAGAGAGACATGTACTTTTAAATATTTATCTAATCATTCTTCTGGAGAACAGAACAAACTTACTACTTCAATGTAATGTTAATTATAAATGGAAATGTGGAGGTTATTTTCTGTGCAAGTTTTTGAGCAGTCATCGGTAATGCTGAGCTGGAGGGTTAGGATCAGAACTTGGCCTAACTAGAAATAGCTAGAGCAGTACTCAGGCTGGAGAACATGGAGCTCATTCAAATCAGCTGGGGACTTGCATTTAGCATAAACACTCAAAGGGGATCCTGCTAAGAAGAGTCTGGAGAGTCAAGTCAAGGAGAGGTAAATGTACGCACTTCTGAATAGGGCAGCCTAGTTGCCCATGAGTCACAGAGCTGAATCAGGGTATGTAGGGCAAAACTATGAAGTCTTGACTTCATCATAAGCGTAAATTGAGGAACATGGTTGATATTAGATCTAGACACAGCATCTCCACAATTGGATGGATGCACTGGTCTTCACAAGGACCCAGCCAGGGAATGAATACAGGGCTATTTCCTTTCTGCTCTAGTTTTTTATTTTTGGGGGGGTGGGGCTTGGGGGGGCTTTTTTGTTTGTTTGTTTTTTAAGTAGGCTACATGCCTAGTGTGGAACCCCATGCAGGGCTCGATCTCACGACCCTGAGATCAAGACCTGAGCCAAGATCAAGAGTAGGACTCTCAACCAACTGAGCCACCCAGGTACCCAGTGCCCTAGTTTTAAACAGTCTTGATGGTATAGGCTCATATAAGCTCCTTATTCTAGTGTAGACTAGATTGTCTAGAGCTATTTAGAGATAACAACATTACCATTAAATGTAATTAAAGACCAATCCAAAGTATATGACTTTAGAATTTTTAAAAAATCAGTTATTCCTAGATTTGGCAGTACTTCCCCCAAATTTACTCATTATCAATAATGAGTTGGGAAGCTGAAAGAAACCTTTATAATCTATTATTAATAAAGATAAGTTTTGACCATGCATGCTAGAGGAAAGACAGAATTATTTTTCTAATCTTCCTATAGAAAATTGTATTACAAAAGTATTATTATATGAAGGTACAATCTTCCAGTTATGAAATAAATAAGACATGGGGATGTAAGGTACAGCATAGGGAATATAGCCAATAATATGATAACAACTTCATATAGTGATGGATGGTAACTGCATTTCTTGTGGTAACCACTTCATAATGTCTATAAAAATTGAATCACTAAGTTGTATACCTGAAACAAATACAATATTGTATGTCAATTATTCTGCAAAAGAAAAAAAAGAAGCAATTAAAGAACATGCAGCCTCACATGGGGGAAAGTATTATAATGTTGTGTTAAGCAGCTAACTGAACTATTGCTTTTTTCTGGACTTTATCGTACTTACCAATTTTTAAAACTTTGTCATTTGTCATGATTTCTTTTCTCATCCCAAATAAATTCTGATTTTCAGAATAAAAAATAACCATATATGTGTGTGCATAAAAATATGTGTAATGTCGCATGAAGAAAAAGCAAATGTACAGTGATACCAGATGTCAACACACAGAGGCAGTATACATATAAATGTATAGTAAACAGCTCGATTGTAGACCGGAAGAACAAACCTAACTAAATGGTCGGCAGTCGTTGTAGTTAGTATTTCAAAAGAGGATGCTAATTTGGGGTGGTTGATTAAAAAACAAAACATTTTTTTCCTGAATTCAGTAGTGATACACACAAATACTTCTGTGAGTTTGAAATAAGGTTTTCTTTCCTAATGAATAATTTTTAACTGAGTTTGTCTTTTGTTGTTGGTTGTTTACTTTGCCACTGTTCTATTTGGTACTATTTTTCAGACCTGAATCAAGTTTTCATACTTGGGCTGTTTTGTGCTCCCATTCTCATGTGCCTTGTTCTTCTAGGGCATCTTGACCCCTGTCTTATGAAGAGAGAGGCCTTGGTTATAATAGTATGATTAAATCTGTCAAATCCATGGCCTTTTCATTGTTCATTGCCATCAAATAATGGCAGGAGAACTAGCAAGACCTGCAGCCCAAACCAGTTAATTTTGTCTCTTATTAACAGCTTTGCCGAAAGGTCATTTGGGACAATAAAATGAGGTGAAGGTTATCTTTCAGTATTAGTTATCTATAGAAGATTCCTCTTTCTCCATTACTGAGGGTAATTTAAGATTGATTCTACATGGAAGAATCATTTTTAAGGCACCTTAAAAGGATGTTTGAAGATACACAATAGTCATGCACAGAATTCTATTATTTGGACTTAAAAGTAAATCAATCCAAAAATGCAGAATTTTCACATTGTCAGTGAGTTTTTTCAATTTAGTGAAATTTGTTGTAAATTATTTAATTAAGTACTGTATACACAAATTATAGAAGTTTATGCATTTTTAGTAATACTCTTTGAAAATAAATTATTTGGAAACAATTATATTGATAATGTGTGTTTCTCTATGTTGAATAAATCCCTCAAAATAATTCATCTATTGAAAATACTGTGTATTAGATAATGTCGCAGAAAGGTTAATGTACTGAAGCACCTAATACAATATTGCATTCAACATAAGTATTTAGAAATGTGCTATTGGTTTAAAAAAAAAAACAATAATAATAGTGTGGAGTAATTTTAAGATTTGCTTTTTCAGATAAATTTAATCTTTGACTCTGAATATGCACACAGTGATGGACTGGTATATGTCTTCTAAAAAGGATGTAGCATGTTTTTCAGTGACCACGTGCTGATTGGTATGTGTTTATTTTCTCAGCAAGGAGCATGGGAAACACTGCTGGCAGCTCTAGAAGTCCTCATCAGAGCGGATCACCACCAGCAGGTCTTTAATATTAAGCAGTTACTGAAAGCCCGAGTGGTCCATCACTTTCTACTGACTTGTCAGGTTTTGCAGGTAACTTTTCACGTAACTTTACATTGGGAGATATTTTCCACAATTATTTGTTTAGTAACTCAGTACTGTGAACTCACATTTTTGTGGGACTTTCAATGGAAGGAATTTTTTTTTTTTCCCCATCTTCCCTATTCTCCTGGATTCTTTCTTCCCAACCCCTGCCTCCTACAGCTTGACCTTCGCACTTCCATCATTCCTAACTCAATTACAAAAGAACAACAACTACTGTATTTCTGTGATGTCTCTATGTTGGAATAGAATAATAATTTTGTAACCTCTTGAATATCAACAATAGGAAAATTTTAACTTGTGGTAAGCTTTGCATAGTGGCAGAATGGTGGCCAGTGAGGTTTATCTGAGGCATGATTACTGCTAACTGAAACTTATCCCACATTCCTTAAATAACAAGTGCAAGTATGTTTTGTTTTAATAAGTATGGATTTGCCGAAGATCCGTTATATGTACCAGAAGTAGCATATTGAAAATATCCAAAATATTATACATGAAAAAGTGGCACACTCACCTCACCAGTAGTGTCTGTGCTATGACCTGGCTTCTAGTTAAATCTTTTGCTCTGCCTTCACAGATGTCCTTAAATTTATCACTTTGGTCAGTGTACAAGAGTATTTTTCAAGGTCGTTTATTTTTTTAGTGAGGCATCTACTAGGACTTTATCAGGTTGGATAAGTTCAGATGTTCCCTGAGAGCAGTAATATTTCTGTTTTTAATGCCTTTGTTTGGATGACACCAGGGGCTTCCCATTGCACTTGGGATAAAATCCAGACTCTGTGACAATATGCTCTGGTGACCACACCAGCCTCCCCTCATGCCACTGCAGCCACCTGGCTTTTTTTCTGTTCCTTAAACAAGTGAGTCTTTTCCCCTCTCAGGGCACATGATATTTTTTCTGACTGAGGAGTTATTGATCCTTTTCTTTCCATCTGGCCTGCTTCTCCTTCATATCTCACTTTAAATTTACTTCCTGAGAGAAGCCCTCCCTTCTCTATGCATCTAGAGTAACCCTTGCCCTTCCCCCCGACTCACTCCATGCATCTGCATTTGTTAGTGTCATGTCCTCATTTCTGAAATTCTGGTTTATTTCCCTCTGTAAACCTGCTGAAGGCAAGGATAATGTTTTTTTCTTTTTGTTTTTGATTATTTTTTTAATTTAAATTCAATTAATTAACATATAATGTACTATTAGCTACAGAGGTAGAGTTCAGTGATTCATCAGTCTTATATAACACCCAGTGTCCCATTACATCACGTGCCCTCCTTAATGTCCATTACCCAGTTACCCCATCCCCCCACCCCCTCCCCTCCAGCAGATAATGTTTTTTCTTGATCACACTGTAACTCCAGTACCTGGCACATACAGGCACCCAATAAATATTTGTTGAATGAATGAATTCTAAAAAAACAAAAAAACATTTTATTGCCTTTCTTTGGCCCTGTGGTAAATTAGACTGCTGTCTTCAGGAATACAATACAGTATGCTCAGAGGCTCACTGCTTGCTTGCTGAATAGTTTATGTAACATTTATACAGCAATTTTTCTCTAAATCAGTTTTCTTTGTATATCCACTTTGAAACTTGCTGACTAATTTTCAAAAAGTTCACAAGACAGTGTGAAGTTCTTATTCAGTCTTTCCATGTCAGAAAAGTAACACTTGTAAACTAGGAGATCTCTCTCTCTATATATATATATATATTCTCATTTCCATATATTTATAAAAATGCTAGAAAAATCGAGGTACCAATTCCTTTTCCTGAAAAATATATTTCTTCATCCTTCTTCATTCAAAGAGCCCATTATCAAATTAACAGCTAGTTATTAAGAATTGTTTTATGTTAGGTATTGTGGGAAGTATATAAAGAAATGAACTTAATTATTGTCTTTATGGTATCTCAGAGTATTTAAGAAAGATTGATAAATTGGTAATATATTGGATGTGGGGCCATTTCATTAGTTCATGAGTACAGTGTAAAGAACCTGAACTCAGGTGATGAAAAGAGGAGTGTAAAAGTTGGGAGCAAATGTGAAGGAGATTGTAAAGGGAATTAATAGGGCTTGATTCTGTCTAAATAGGAGCTATAGGAGAAATGAAATATATGATGCAAAATTTCCACCTGGGAGACTAGAAGGATGATAGCATCATGAAAGATGGAATTGTACGCGCAAGTTTTGTAGCTTATCCATTCTGCATCTGAGATTACAGTGGGGCGTTCAGTGGCCGTGACCACTGGACACGTAGATGTGCAAGATTGGAACTGGGGACACGGATGAGAGGGACAGATGGGGGACTGTCTGCACTGAAGCCACAGGGACAGATAAACACTACAAGATAAACAGTGTAGTGAAAGGATCGAAGAGGGCTGTGGCTTGCACCTCCAGAAATACCCATTTTCAGGTGTGAAACAGGAAAAAGAAACTGTTAAAAGATGTAGAAAGAGTAGTTGAAGAGCTAAGGGAAGAACCAGGAAACAGTGAAGTGAAAGCCCAGGGTGGGCAGAGGGGGAAAGAAAAAGGTGGTCTCCAGAGCCAAATAATGTGGAAAGTTCAAAGAAAATGGGGACAGGTAAAGGGCCACTGACAAATTCTAAATGACTCGCAAGAATCATTAAGGAATGAAGAAGGCAGGAACCAGGTTTCAGGGACTTTAGGCAGCACGTGTGGTGGATTCATTGGAGATAGTGAAAATAAATAATGATTAAAAAGTCTAGCAGCAAACGAAGAGAGAAACAGAAAGTTAACAAAAGGTTCCCAAAATTCAAGTTAAGGGAATTTTTTTTGGAAAAAGAGAGTGGGGGAGGGGCAGAAGGAGAGTAAGAATCTTTTTTTTTTGAGAGAGAGAGAGACAGACAGAGTCTGAAGCAGGCTCCATGCCCAGCACGGAGCCCCGACGTGGGGCTTGATCTGACAGTCCTGAGATCATGACCTGAGCCAAAGTCAAGAGTGAGACACTTAACTAACTGAGCCACCCAGGTGCCCCAGGGGATTTTTTTTTTTTTTAATGAAGTAGGATACCAGTGGCTATTTGTAAGGGGTCCGTGGAAAGGACAAGACTGAGGGAACATGGCCTGGGATGGGCTTGGGAACGAATGGCTGGGGCGGCGAGCAGGAGGGGGGAGGCACCAGGGGCACCATCATCCATGTGCAGGGAGAGGGAAGATGAGGAAGTTTAACTCCCTTGGTGTTGATCTAGAGGCCAACTGCTCCCTATTGGGGGTGGAGTTGGGGAGTATCAATAATTTATTTATACCTGTCTTTATGTTTAGTAATTGCTTGGCCTTCTCCCAGGTCTTCTTATACCAGGCAATCGATGATGCCGCAGAGAAGGTTCAGAGGTCTGGGTGTGAGTTATAGCTGCACTACTTACGTGTTTTCTGTGTGGTTTAAGGTAGTCATATAATCACTTTGAGCTTCACAGTCTAGAAACGAAGGGTAAAACCTGTCAGAGCTGTCGTGAGAAAGAGCTTGGTAAACTGGCACACACTGTAGTAATATAATCGATTTTGTCTATCAGGAATTTCTCCTTGTGATCCCTTTGTAGTAGTACAGAGACAATGGTAGTAGTCATAATAGTACGACTCTTAGCTGGCATTTATGTGGGGCTTCCCTTACGTGAGGTCTCTTCCAAGAGTCTGTGTCATTTAATCCTTATGACAACCCTATGAAGTAACATGATTATTCCCATATTATAGATAAACTGAGGCATGGAGATATTAAATATGCCCCCAAATCACCCAGCTAGTGAGTGGGGAAGCCAGAATGCACAGCTAGGTGGTTTGGCTTCTGAGCCAGGCTTGTGTTTGCCACAATATAACTTCGCCTTGTTAATTAAAATAAATGGGCTAGAAGTAAGTTGCCATTGGTTTTAATGAATTTTTAATGGCAAGATTGCTTGAACTGAGAAGTAGCAACTCAGTTTAATGGTAAATATGGTCAGACTAGGGTAGTAAACCAACACAATTCTGTCTTAAATGGAATCTGTTGCTTAAACGAAAAATGTTGGTTAAGTTGACAGTTCTCTTTAAATCTAAAGAGAGTTTTTTTTATTTTTTCAGGAACACAAAGAGGGGCAGCTTACCTCCATGCCCCGAGAGGTTTGTAGATCATTTGTGAAAATTATAGCAGAAGTCCTTGGATCTCCTCCAGATTTGGAATTATTGACAGTTATCTTCAATTTCCTTTTAGCAGTTCACCCTCCTACTAATACTTACGTTTGTCACAACCCCACAAACTTCTACTTTTCTTTGCACATAGGTAGGTATAATCATTTTTTGTTAGATACTGGCTATCTTAGTTTTCATTATTTTTCTTCCCACTCGATCCACATTTGTTTGATATTCATTGACTGGCTTCTATGTGCTAGAAACTGCCCTAATCACACACTGGGATTGGGACAGGGCAAAGGGCTGTAGAATGAACCAGACACAGGCTCTGCCTTCAGAGAGCTTCACTGCCAAGAGGAGAGAGGAGACAAATACTCAAATATCTATAGTAAGAAACAATATCTGGTAAGTACCTAATAGATTCAAAAGAAGGACTGATTAGATTTTAGAGGAGTGAGGGTCTCATCAGACAGCTGTGGAGAAAGAAGATTTAATACATTCTATATCTGACATGGGCATTGAAGAATTTAGGTAGAATTTGAGAGGTTTCCAGGTAAAGAGAATGACTTAAAGAGAGAAAAAAATAGAGAAAATAATAATGAATTTTACCCAAGTCTAGGGATCTCTAAAGGATCAGTGAGGAAACAATACCATAAATATAGTTTGGGACCGTCACTTATTTATTTTCCCCCCTAAGATCATATTAAATGGGTCCTTGAATGTGAGGCCAGAGAATATGAACTTATATTCTATTTAGGGGGCCACTGAAGGGTTTTGTTTTGTTGTTTTGTTTGTTTTGAGCAAAGAATATGATGGAATTAAATTGCTGCAATAAAATTCAGGAAAGAGAAACTACCCACATAGAAGTAAGTGGAAGCTCTGAGACTAGATGAGACCACTGAAGAAAAGTATAGAGAGAGAGTGAGGGGAAAAGGAGGCAAAGGCTAGAACTAAAGAAAGAGTAATTAGCGTAAGAGAAAGATGGAATAACTAGGGTTTTAAAAGCACCAGGAAAATGTAATGTGGTAAGAAAGCAAGCAAGAATGTACCTATGAGAAAACTAGATAGTAAATTTAGAGAGGAAAACTGGTTGTAAAACAGGCATTTAGGAATGTAATAAATGAATAAAATGATTCAACAGCAGTAAAAATCCAAATGGAAACAGACAACATGACTTTGTGTTTGGTTCAGCACACATTTAGTGAATAAAGTACTGTCAAGATTCTGGAAACAGGGTAGTTGCAAAGATGAGTAGAATGTGGTCCACTCCTATATGAAGCTTACAGCCTAGCTGAGGGGAAAGAGACATAAACAGGTGATGACAGCATGTGGAAAGCAC